TTTTTGTATTAAAAAATTTGCTATTTAGAATTAAAAACTAATTAACAATAAAATTTAATGTAATTCTTTTTCGAATATATCATTACATGTTATTTTCGTTTGTAGATGATAGGGATAAAAATTGAAAACATTTTTATTATAAAATTTATCTATTCAATCCGTGCAATCGATGTTGAAACTTTACAACTTATATTGCAATTTTGCGCAAATAAAATCATGGGCATCTGCCCCGCGAGAACTAAACTGAGCGAACGATGCAAATTATGCGAGTTTTTCGATAATTATAAAATTGTTGTAAATTTGTGTTTATGCTATATATCGAGAAAATCATGTTTGTTTGCTGATATTGTCTTTATCATATACATCGTTAATAGATATCATATACATCGTTAATTTTTCTACATTTTTGTAAGAACGGGAAGTCTGGACGATTTTTGGACTATAATGCAATCTATCTATGATTCACAAACTATGGATTTGGAGAAAATTAGCGTGAAAGACCTGATGAATCCTTGGATACAAGAAAAGCAATATCCCATTCTTAATGTAACGGAAACCTTTGAATGGACGCAAATTGTTATAGAAACCGCTTCCAAACCGTGGTACTGGACGGTACCATTAACAAATCAAGTGTATATAAATTTAAAACGAATTTTACCCAAATTTTGTCCAGCCCGGGAACAAAAGCACTTTCTTGCAGTATGTTACAATTCCAAACACAGTCAATTCATAATAATCAATCAGCAACAAACAGGTAAATAACGATCAAATACTTTTAATATGGAATATTATTAATTTATTTATTTTGAAGACTTATTATGAAGACTTGTTAATTATGAAAAGAAAAAGATTCTTGACCTATTTTTGTAAAAGAGTTTTTAGATAGATGGGATATATATAACTTTAAATATATATCAAGGCTATGTTAGAATTGCCTATATGCTTCTTTTAGTGATTTTAATCCATCTACAATTATTCTTGTCTTAAACGAATTACGGTTAACGCATTTTAATTTAATAATTATATTTATATGTATGATGAAATTCTTTGATATTGTTTCTTTCTGATATGCAATATTTATAAACAAAGGTTAAGTTTCATAAAAATTTATTATATCGCTGTGAAAAAGTTGTCAACCGAATGATCCGCAACATTTTCGACGTAAAATTCAAAATTATATTAGTTTGTAAATACCAATTTTTTATTATTTATAATACAAGCATTTCTATCTCTAATTAATATCAATTACATTATAATTTAATACACTTTAATGGCAAATAATATTTATTTATCACATGACAGGATACTACCGTGTATTTTACAGTTTGGAAAGTTGGTTAAAAATCATAAGATATCTTAATTCCGAGAATTATATAAATATTAATGTTTTAAATCGTGCTCAAATCATCGACGATACGTTCCATTTAACAATATCAGGCGAATTAGATTTTCCTGTATTTTGGGAAGTCGTAAGCTATCTAAAGTGGGAAACGGACTATATACCATGGTATTCTATGTTCAAAGCTGCTGAACACATGTCATACATTTTACCGTTTCATAATACCGATAGTGCAATATTCAAGGTAAAAGCGATTTTAGTAAAGACAATTTTTACAACTTATGTTTTTATGTTCAAAATATTAATATTTTACTTTTAATAATTTTCTAAATCTTTCTCTAAAAGATATGATGTAATCAATTTGGAAAAATAAAATTTTTTTTATGAGTCTACAAGATTTAGACTTAAAATTTCTGAAATAATTAACGTTATCTTTACATTACTCAGAAGAAACTACTAATGCAATTGGGTCCGCTTCTTCAAAAGATTGGGTATGAAGAAAAACCTAATGACGACAGTTATTAAATGTTTAAGACAAGAAGCTCTAAGATGGGCATGTGTTCTTGGTGATGGCGAATGCAAAAAACATGCTGAATTTAAATTGCAATGGCATTTGTTAAATACGAAGTAATTATTAATTCTTCTATTGTAATAGTTTTACTATATTTGCAATACACGTCATACTTTAAATAAAAATATGTAAAACTATAAATTATATTAATTTTATGATAAAACGTTTCAGAAAAAATAAACTGTTACCATGGTGGAGAGAATGGACATTTTGTAATGGTTTATCTGTATCTAGTGCTTCTCTTGACGAGCTATTTAAAGATTGGGATGAATTTTGGAAAAATAAAAATTTAGATGTGTTTAAAGTTGTCGCTTGCTATAATGATATTTCTAGTCTCGTGTTTCTCCTTTATACATTAAAAATGTTCAAATATGACGATAAATACGTGTCTGCTTACAGAAGTTTGTATACAGAAGATAATGCAAGGGCAATCACTATTACTAAATACAATATTGATCTGTTTTATCATGTTATTCAGAAACATGCAAATGATGTTTTATTCAATCACATTTTATTAAACAATTTGGAAGAAATCAAGCTTAAGTAATAATACGTTTTCACAAATTTTACATTTTAAATGCAAATTTTTTATTTGCATACAATCAAAAACTTTATTACATTATTTTATTTTATTATATTATATTATTTATATTACATGCAATTTCTTTTCTAGAGAGATTAGTACAACCGCAGCATTAATTAATATTATAAATTATACTTATTCTAGTAAATTACTCTGCGAGGTAAGTTTTTATTAAACACAATAACTCTT